AATTGAATAAAAAAGGGACCAAGGAAAGATCAGTAAGTACAGAGCAGCTTCCACATGAAGCCTGAATGGGATTCCTCAGTCAAGAAATCAAATGGGAGATAGATGTGAGAGGTGTGCAACAGCATGAATGGCCTGGGAAATGGGGACAAGGAAAAAATTGTCTTGATTTGTCACCAAAAAGTACTTGAGGATTTGAAAATGTTATTGGACAGAAACTATATATATGTGTAGAGGGCAACACAGTACAAGGGTCTGTGACAAGCCAGTGGAGCAGCAGCCTATGGGACAGAGGTGTGCAAGAAATACACTGCATTGGAGAGAGTCTGATGGAGACCTCACACCTCACACACAGCACTGGCCAGAATAAAACAAAACTTCAGCCAGGCATAGCCACATGGCAGTGGAGAATCAGGGCTCCTCCTTCCTCCACTCAGCAACTCTCAGCAAAACAGGAGCCCAAAAATCTTAGTCCTGTTAGAGGGGATGCACTTTATCAGCCCCCTAAGCACCAACTGGTTCTCAGTTTTCTTTGGGGTTGAGCTGGAACAGGGGAGGTACATCTAGAAGGAATTGAGGTGGCTGGCACAACAGGGAGTGGTGCTGGAGAAGTGTCCTGTGCCCCGTGCAGTGCCCAGCACTCACCTGTGTTGTAGCACACCACCATGGACCCAAAATGGGCACCAGTGGTCAGCGGGTGAAATCCCACTGTCACCTGCACGCTGTCACCAGCACCCAGAGCTCCCATGGCCGGAACCACGGAGAAAGGACTGCAACACAAAGAGAGAGATCAGGACTCAGGGGACATCTGGGGATGATATTCCTTCTGCAGTGCAGGTCACTTCGGCTCCCTTGGGAAAGCAGGGAGCACAGAAACCTCAGGCAACAGAAAAGAGACAAAACAGGATCAGAAACAGCTGCTGACCTACTTCTGAGGGGATACAGACCTCAGGAGATCCTGTGGGATAAAATGACCTCATCTGCCCCATACTCTGCATCCAGCTCTCTGCAATGAGACCCAAGGATCCCACTGCCAGCAATCCCATCAGAGAATGGTTTGTGAAACCACTGAAAGCAAGAGCAGATGCCATCCATCCTGCTCACTTCCAGCCAGAGCTGCAGTGCAGCCCTGATGCTCAGCTTCCTTTTGTTGCTCTTTGCCAAGCCTATTATCACCCAAAGGTGTTTTGCACAAGGACAGAGGAGCTGCCTCACCTCTGGGTGCTGATGTAGTAATGAGCCTCCAGGTTGCCAGTGTTGCGAAGCAGCAGAGTCTTCTTGGTGCTGCTCTTGACCGGACACTCCGAGAAGTTCAGCTGGTCTGGGATGGTCAGGATAGCTCGGGCAGCAATGGCCCGAATTGGCACAACTATCCTTTCTGTTTTAGTGATGCAGACCAGCTCATGGGAATAATCCTGCAGGAAAAGAAACTAGCTCAGCATGGGGCATTTAGTGCCATTCCCATGGCAGAAGAAAACAATGGCCTAGAACCCTTCAAGGGCATCTATTCTATTCTATTCTATTCTATTCTATTCTATTCTATTCTATTCTATTCTATTCTATTCTATTCTATTCTATACTCTACTACTCTATCTCTCTACTTTCTATACTCTATTCCACCCCAAAATGAACACTAAGTTCTACCAATAATATTATTATTATTAAAGGCACCAGTTCACTTTGCAAAACCTATCTCAGTGGCATTAAGCTCTCATGTCATTAGGGTCATACAGAGAACTGCCCTAGGCCACAACTTTTACCCTAAAGTTTAATGATGTTAAATAATTTCCAAGTCCCTTCTAAGGAACATGGAGCTAGGGAACACAGGCCATTCCTCTTTAGGTTCCTGTATTCCTGCTGTTTGAGAATAGGACCAAGTGTTAAACTGACTCTAAGCAGCAAAAGGAAAGGAAGGTGAGAAAACAGCTGCACCCAAAAAGGTCCTGCACCTCTGGTCTAGTGTAGAAACATGAGTTGGCTCACAACTCCCCTCTAACTTTGCCTCTCCAAGCAAGTCAGGAGAAGAACAGTGCTAAGAGGTAGCAGGATGCTGTTGGATGTTGTTTGTTTCCCTTCCTCCCTTCCCTGCCATGTCCTAAACCCTTCTGTATGAACAAACCTCCAGATCCCAGCACTGAGAACAGAGCTCCAGGGCCTCGGCACTGCTGCTCAAATCTCCCCAGCAAAGCACGTTTGGCACGGAATGGGGGCCAGTGGACAGAGCAGCCCCAGTGACAGGCATGAAGACAGAGCCACAGCAGTGTCACTGCCACAGGCTCTGGGCTCACAGCTCTGCCTACAGGTTGTACCTGCCCTACAGCAGCTCTTTCAGCAGGTGGAAAACCATGGCTCTGGAGATAATGGTGTGTTTTGGCTCAGTCTCACCTTGCTCTCGTTGGGGGTGAACTGAATGCGCACACGGGCAGTCGCACCTCGTGGCACAGCACGGTACGCGTCGTTGGGGCACACCAGCCTGAAATAAGGCGAGCTCTGCATGGAGACCTGCACCAGCTGAACACACTGCAGGGAAGACATGAAACAATGATTGTGCCACTTGTGGAAGCAGGCTGAGAGGAGACTTGTCCGTGCCCTGGTGACATCCTTCCTTGATCCCGTTTCCAAAGCACTTTCAGCTGTGCAGGTACAGGCACATCATTCACAAGGGACAACTTGAATCCCTTCTGTCTGGCTCATTTTGGCCAGGGGCAGTAGGGCAATGCCCCGTGGGAAGGAAGGGCCCAGCAGGTCAGCACCAGCAGGATGGAGACAGAGCACCTGCACCAAGTCATCTGCACATTCAACAAGGCCAAAAAACCTGCTGGCTTCTGCCTGCACACAGCCATGCAGTGGTGTTCCAGACAGGGGATGTGCTACCTGAAAGCAAAGCAGCACATTATCCTGGGGGAAGGAAGGAATTCCCTTCTAGCAGATCAGGTTTTCTAGGGCAGGTCTGGGGATACAGTCAGGCAGGCAGACCAGCAAGAGAGGAGACCAAACACTGTGGCCTCCCTGGGAATAAAAGCAAACCTGAAAAGTCAAAGAAGGAACACAGCAAGAAAATCCCTAAATCATGGAGATGGCAAAGAGAAATTAAATGGGCAGTAAAGCAGCAAGGAAGAATCATAAAACCATGAAAGCACTCAGCTTGCCAAAAGAGATAGAAACACAGACAGGCTGTGCCTATCGACTGTGGGCTTCAAAGGCATTTTCTGCCTGGAGAAACATGACCGGCACTGACTCACCGTGTGGTT